GCCTTTTTGGCGTGCAGATGCCATACTGCTTTCAGCAGACAGTGCAGTACGGTGCACCGCTTCTCTCCTGGTACTATGAATCACCTCGCATTTCCTCTCGTCTTTCTATGTAATCTCTATAAGTATCTACTCTTTCTCTTCCTCATCGACCACTTCCGCTGCCAACTCTGCTCGGCCATCGTGAACCGAGCAGCACAGCTTCCGCCGCCAACTCTGCTCTCCCGCTGTTGCCGCACTACCTAGCTTCTCCATGTTGTCTGTCCTGGGCTCCCGCCTCCGTGAAAGCTACAGAAGACAACCATTTCCTGCCTTTTTTTGGCTATCGTGAACCGAACAGCACCTCTTGACTGCCACTCTACTTTCCTACGTTTTGCGCCCTTTTTCCAGGATTACCTGTGCAGGCGCCATAGCGCGGCAAGCATGGAGCCCGCTCAGATCTCCGCTGCAGTTTTGACCATTGTAAATACCTCGCGCATTATCCAGCAGTATGTGCAGTACCTGCAAAACTGGACGAGGAAGCGACAACAGCGTGATTACGATAGTGATGAGGACATGGACAGAGACGTTCCTAGAAGCACGGCATGTGGCGATTGGGATATCATGGTGGCATTGGGCCAGGTTCATGCCGTGGAACACCGATTCTGGGCCTGGGAAACGAGCACAGACTGGTGGGACCGCATAGTGTTGCAGGTATGGGATGATTCCCAGTGGCTGCGAAGCTTTCATATGCGTAGGGCCACTTTCATGGAACTTTGTGACTTGCTATCCCCTGCCCTGAAGCGCAAAGACACCAAAATGAGAGCAGCCCTCGCAGTTGAGAAGCGAGTGGCCATAGCCCTGTGGAAGCTTGCAACGCCCGACAGCTACCGGTAAGTCGGGAATCAGTTTGGAGTGGGCAAATCTACTGTGGGGGCTGCTGTGCTACAAGTAGCCAACGCAATCATTGACCAGCTGCTATCAAGGGTAGTGACTTTGGGAAATGTGCAGACCATTTGGATGGCTTTAATGCACTGGAGTTCCCTAAGTGCGGCGGGGCAATAGAACACATATCCCTATCTTGGCCCCAGAACACCGGGGCGACCAGTACGTAAACCGCAAGGAGTACTTTTCCATGGTGCTGCAAGCATTGGTGGATCTCAAGGGACATTTCACCGACATCAATGTGGGATGGCCGGGAAAGGTGCATGGCGCTCGCATCTTCAGGAACTCTGGTCTGTTTGAACAGTTGCAAGAAGGGACTTACTTCCCAGACCAGAAAATTACTGGTGGGGATGTTGAAATGCCTATAGTTATCCTCGGGGACCCAGCCTACCCCTTAATGCCATGGCTCATAAAACTGTAAACAGGCACCCTGGACAGTAGTAAGGAGCAGTTCAACTATAGGCTGAGCAAGTGCAGAATGGTGGTAGAATGTGCTTTTGGACGTTTGAAAGCGCGCTGGCTCAGTTTACTGACTCAGTTAGATCTCAGCACAACCAATATTCCAATTGTAATTGCTGCTTGTTGTGTGCTCCACAATATCTGTGAGAGTAATGGGGAGACGTTTATGGCGGGGTGGAAGGTTGAGGCAACTCGCCTGGTGGTCAGGTTAGCACAGCCAGAAAACAGGGCAATTAGAAGAGCGCAGCAGGGCGCGCTGCATATCAGAGAAGCTTTGAAAGCCAGTTTCATGACTGGCTAGGGTACGGTGTGACAGTTGTGTTTGTTTCTCTTGAAGTTACCCACCTCCTATATACATGAAAGGAAATAAAGTCACAATTGTTTAAAAAACGTTCTTTATTATTTGTTGCACAACACATTGAGAGAAATCAGAAGGTAGACCCGGGTGGGGGGAGGGAATTGGGTTAGGGGGGTGGAGGAGGAGGGAAAGACAAGTCCAGAAACCAAATCAAAATTTCAGATATGCCAGCTTTCTGCTGCTTGTGCAATCCTCTGGGGTTGAGTGTGTGGGTCCCTGTAGCCTCCCCCACTCTCCACCCCGTGTCCTTGGGTATCTGGGTGAGGAGGCTATGGAACTTGGGGAGGAGGGAGGGCGGTTATACAGGGGCTGCAGCGGCAGTCTGTGGTCTTGCTGCCTTTCCTGCATTGGATCCACCATACAGTGGAGCAAGTCAGTTTGCTCCCCCATGAGCTTGACAATAGCTTCCTGCCTGTTCTCATCCTGTGCGTCCCTCCTCTCTTCGTGTTCATTTAACGCATTACGGGACTTGGCAATTGTTTGCTTCCATGCATTCAGCTGGGCCCTATCAGTGCGGGAGGACTGCATGAGCTTGGCGAACATGTTGTCCTGAGTTCGTTTTTTCTGCTTTCTAATCTGGACCAGGCTCTGGGACGGAGTAGATAGGGGGCGCGTTGAAACATTTGCACCTGCGGGAGCAGAAAAAGGGAGGGTAGTATTTTAAAAGATAACATTTTAGAGAACAAAGGGGACACTCTTTCTCAGTGAAACAGGCAATTCATAGTACACAGCACATGTTCTTTCTGTACAAGGTCGCATTTTGTCTCTTATACTGAAGTGCCTGCCACTTTGGTGTGAATAAACCATCACACACGGTCGGGCAACAGAATTCAGCTTGCAGGCAGCCATGGTAAGCCCTTGGGGCATGCGGGGTTCTGCTTCTTCCGCATTCATTTCAATGTTTTCAAACTGCCGGGCCCCCTTTCCCATAACAAGCAATACCTGGTGGGTTTGCCATATAAAAGGAGGGCCTGCAGGCTCCCTGGGATGATTGCTTCACACAACACCCCCTTTTCCCCCCCGCACCCACCACGTGGCTCCAATGAGGCTCTGAGCAGGGATGAGCCCTTTAAACTAAACGCGAACAGCCCAGTGCGAACAACCCACCCACCCACCTCGTGGCTCTGATCAGGCTCTCACTCACCAGAAGTGCCTTCTCCAGGGTCATGGAGCCCGCCTTGGGAGTGGGGGGAGGCTATTGGCTCCAGCGTGAAGACTAATTCCTGGCTAGGGGGGAAAATGGATTCCCCACTTGCCGTCTGTGCACTGTCGTCCTCCTCCTCCTCCAATAACTCATCCTCCTCGCTCCGTGCAACTCACAGTAGTGGGGTAGTGGTGACATCACCCCCCATAATTGCAAGCAGCTCATGGTAAAAGCAGCACGTATGGGGCTGTGACCCAGAGCACCCATTCACCTCCCTGGCTTTTTGGTACGCTTGCCCGAGCTCCTTGATTTTTGCATGACACTGTTCTGTGTCCCTGGAGTAGCCTCTTTCTGTCACGGCCCTGAAGACTTTAGCGTACTTATTCGCATTTCTTTTTTTGGAACGTTCTGTCATAACAGATTTGTTTCCACAACATGCAATGAGATTCAGTACCTCCCATTCGGACCATGCTGGAGCTCGTCTGCAAATCTGGGACTGCGTGGTCTCTTGTGATGGTGGACTCTGCATGGTTGCCTGTGATGGTGGACTGTGCTGATGGTCTCCTGTGCTGACGGTGACCAAACAGGAAATGAAATTTAAAAGTTCCCGGGGCTTTTACTGCCTACCTGGTTAGTGCATCGGAGTTGAGAGTGTTGTCCAGAGCGGTCACAAGGGAGCCTTCCGGGATAGCTCCCAGAGGCCAATAACGTCGAATTACATCCACAGTACCTGTAACCCAGAACTGTGATCTCGATTTTAGCGTTACTCCACTTGCCGAGGTGGAGTACAGAAATCGGATTAAAGAGCCCTTTAAATAGAAAAAAACTGTTTGGTCATGTGGATGGAATCAGTTTTATTTCTAATTAATTTGGCTAATTCTGAAATAACCGCGTACTGTAGACCAGGCCTGAGTAATAGAGATGTAAAGTAGTAATCTTTGATATGAAAACAAAGCCAACCACCAAGTATATTTTGACAAATAAACCTACAATGCACACAGAAATTCAAAGCTCATTCTGAGCAAGTCTGCCCTAGAGAAGCTGCACTAAGAGTTTGAGCCAAGGTTTTCAATTTCTTGTCTCTAAGGTTTCTTACTATATATTCAATAAATGGACAGAAATAGAACGTGCTAGAAAATATTCAGTTACAACAAAGAAAACATCAGTGAGCTAAATGATTTTGTACAATCTGAATGTTGTCTCAATCACTATGTTGCAAAAACAAAGTATGTATTGGTTTAAAACTTCCATGATGAACAAGAACTTCTGTCTTTTATTGCTACAGATGTTGATGCATTTTTATGTTTTTCTCCCTTGTATTGGTATTTGCATATTTTCCAGTGAGAAGACCTTTTGTTTGCCATAAGAAGGCTATTATCCAGAATGTTAATGGGTTTCCAGCTATTAAGATGTAATGATATACCTTGAGTATCTAACTATACATTTGAAAAATCTCCATGAGCAATCTCAGAGGAATACTTAGAATGCACTCCTGGTAAATTGGCTCATTTTCTTGTAATTTACTAGAAGTGCTGATATGAAAGCAGTTGTAATATAGAAAGTACATTAATCCCTGGAGTTACATTGTATATATTAAATTATTACTCTCAAAGTATAAAACATATGAGGCCATTTAGCCTTCTTTCGTACTTGTTACTTAAAATCATAGTAGAAAAATAATCGCTGTCATTTGAAGCAAGAAATTAGAAATGATATGTTTAGCATCTTTAAAAACAAGATATGCTGTAATAAAGTAAGTTTGATCTTGCATAAAAATTTATCTTTTTCAAAGGGTTGCCAGTGAAAAGAAAGTGTCATTAAGGAGGCTGTATTGTTAAAGCTCATTTCCTTTAGTTAACAAACTAATATTTTGAGAAATCTGTTCACTTGGACATCCTCTATGATTGTCATATAGATTAGACTGCCTGCTGTTCTAGTTGCCAGATCCTGAAATCTTTTCTTGAGCAATATGCTCACTACCTCAGTATAAACAAAGGAATTCAATATTTGTCCACAGAAATTCTAATAACTACAGCACAGTTATTTTTATTAACTTTTAGATACATCCATTTCAGAACACTTGTTTAAAATGTTCTTTGATTGTTTTCCCTTCTACAGAGTAAGAGAGAAGTGGTGGAACTGCAATTCACTACACTAACTTATATGAACCAATCGTTATTTATGCCACGGGGAGGCTGAAAGTCCTGGAAACGTTATGTAAGAAATGACAAAGAATTTGAAAGCCGTTGCCTAGCAAATTGGAACATGGAGACGAAGCTAGATCCTGCTAAGGATGACCTGCCCCTAATGGCCAACACACGCCACATGCTTGTAAAGCATTATGTATTGGACTTAGATGTGGATTTTAAAAGCCAAGTTATTGAAGGCACCATAGTTCTCTTTTTTGAGCCTGGGAGCCGATGCAAAAAAGGAGGCAGTGCTGGGGAAGGAGCCTGTCTTTCACAGTCAGATGAAACATTCAAAATTAGGGCATCTGAACCTTGTCACAGTCCTGTGACAAATCTAAGTGCCCGCTCATCTAAAACAGGATATAATGATTTTTCAGTCTGTGCTAAAGGTGAAAAAGATACTTCTGATAAAAATGGTAACCATAGCAACGGGGAACAGGCTTCTGGGATTTCTAGTTCAAAGAACTGCTGTGACATAGAGACTCATGGGAGTGAAGATTTTTTGCTGGTATTGGACTGCTGTGATTTATCTGTGTTAAAGGTCGAGGAGGTAGATGTTGCTGCTGTGCCAGGTATTGAAAAATTTACAAGGTCTGCCAAGCTAACTGATGCTGAAGAGCTGAGAAATCTTAGGAATCAGATTGTACATGAACTTGTGACTTTACCTGCGGATCATTGGAGGGAACAGCTATATTATTACACCTACTGCAGCCAGGCGCCTGGTTGTGGAGAGCTTCTGTTTTCCACTGGCACTTGGAGCTTGGAGATAAGGAAAGCAGAGGTTCAAGCACCAAGAGACTTTCCTCATGCCATAAGGATATGGTACAAAACAAAGCCAGAGGGAAGATCAGTTACATGGACCACAGACCAGAGTGGCAGGTATGTAACTATTGGCTTTACAGCTGTACACATGTTAATTTTATATGCAGGGAGAGAAGAATTCAGAGTGATGCATTAAATGCGTTAACTGTGCAAAGAAGATAAACATTCATTTTCACTGCTTTCTTTTCATCCTTAGTCTGAATTCTACTGGATCAGTAAAGTAGGTAAACTGAAGGGCAGACAAAACCCTAACAAGATTACATTCCTTAATCCTGGATCAAATGATTGCCTTTATCTAGTTTGCATATTCAGGGCTGGAAGTAATGGATTGTATTGCATGTTGGGTAAAGGTGGTATGTGTCCAGGGGGAGGGGCAGAGAGTGCGATGAGGCAGTAGTGGGGGAAGAGAATGTATAAATGACAGATACGTTCACCTTAGTATTCTGCGTTCTTTTTCCTTCCTAGCATAAGAAACTGATCATATAGTATAACAATTTGTATCTGTAATACTGAATAGAATATCTCACAAACTAGCCTTTTGTCATTTATTAATTCTGTACTGAGTTTATAGTTAGAATCTTTTCCTGTTTAGTCTCTCTTAACCAACTTTTAAAATCCCCTTTGTGCATAATATAAAATACATTGCTGATGGCAGGTAAATTGTGAGTTGCAATTTGAGTGGAGATTTGGTTGTTATATAGCATTGTAAGTGTACATGACGCTGTACAGTACTTAAAGTTAGGTTTACAATTACATGAACTGTAATTTCATTGGATCGTGATATTTAAAATGGGATTTCAATAGTTGTATTCTTCAGTGGAGATAGTTGAGAAATAACAAGAAATCTACTGTGCCATCAAGTTTGACGGTGGTAGGGAACCAGATTCCAGTAAACTCTTGTTACTCTTCCACAAAACAGAGTCTGAGCAGTCAGTCAATCTCAGCCACACTAGTGGAAATTGAGTCACTTCACTGAAGTCAGAATTTGGCCCTCTAATTGTGCATAAAGCACTTGGACAATTTTAATACTGAACCTACTCAAGCTTTAAGCAAAGAGTATGTTTGCTCATATTCATTACTAATCAGTAGATAATTCTGGTCCCGAAGGAATATTCATTTGATGTGGCACCTTTATGAAGTGAGGTCATGCATTTTTTACCATTGTATTGAGTGAAGCATGAGGAGGTTGAGTTGCTTGTTATCCTACAAGTGTGTCAGTGGCTCTCTGTCCTTCATTTTAGCTTTTATAACTTTCTGGACACCAGGTAGCATCAGACTTTTTTAGAAGTGTTTTTTGGTTGTTATTCCAGGTTAATGTTTTGAACATTTGGGACATTTTTATAGATTAAATCACTAAGTGCTCTTAGTTTTTAATCTTTTCCCCCCATTTGATTCCTAGGGTTAGTAGTGAAGTTTTTGCTGCTTATATTTAGAAGCAGCTCATGGGATTTCCACAGAAGTGTGAAGGCTTTCATGCTTCTGTAGAGTGGAAAAGATAATGTGGTGATCATTTTATCAGAAAGATTGATGGAAATAGTCTATTGTAGCTTTTTTTTCTGTCTCTTGTAGGTTGATTTTTTAATTGCTGTATTCCAGAAACTATTTCCTATCACAAGTTTTCAGATCACGAAGAGTTATTAGAATCCTTATTTTCAAATGTTGTGAAATGAGATTTACAGATGATACATCTATAAATATAGGGATTAACTCCTTTCCTCACCACATAGAACTTTGTCATTATTTATTTTTTCTTTCTGTTTTCATTTAAAAAATAAAATCAATTAATAGTATATGGGGTGGGAGGAATAATGTTACAGTGTTTTATTACTTCTACAATGCCACATATGTGCATGATGCTGTATAGGCAGATAAAATGTCAATCCTTTCTCCAAGGAGTTTACAGTCTAGGGTTCCAATCTTCCAAAAAATTGTTTGAATGAATATAAAGGAACAGACATTCTGTAGTCATTTCAAATGCAATATCTTCTAGTTTGTTTGTACAATGCTTTGAAGATGTAGTATTCAATAAATATTATATCACCTTTTTAAAAATTTTTTTAAATACTTCTGTTTCTGTCATGAGTCACAAAAATCTATTTAAGCAGTGTGATTAGGATTAGTGGGCAGGATTCAGATGAGTATATGTGCAATGAAATTAAATAATGCATAATGGGTTGCATTCCTTTTTTTACAAAGCAAGGCCTGAACACATGGAATTTCAGTGATTCACTGTTTAATACTTTGATACTAGAAAATGCATTAATGCTCACAGTAGGAGCTTCCATCCAGCCCCAAGACATTGGGTTTATATGTTAAAAACAGCTGCCTTTTTGAGGCTTCCTACAAGAGCAATAGATTATAGGGCAAAAAAGAGAAGCAGGCTTGCCTTTTTTTGTTCTTGCCTTTTCCCAGAAGTCTGCAACAGTATCCTTATTAAGATAAAAGTATGTATAAAATAAAATATCACTTGAAGTGTGGGAAAAGTGACCAGGGTCCCAATTCAGTGAGGCCTCCCAAGCTTTGAGGATGTGACTAGCCCCACTGAAGTCAGTGAGACTACTCACATACTTAATGTTAGGCTCAAGTATTTCGTAGATTTAGGACCTATCAAAATCTCATTTTAGGATTCCATGCTTATTGTTTAAGTAAATGATTCCATATTAAATATACTCAGTTTAAAAAAATTATGATTTTCACAACTGCCAGCTTTGCAAATTAAACCTGAAGTGTGAAAGTCAACACAGGTTCCTTCTGCCTTTACTCTTTATCCACTCTAATAAAGAAATTTCAGTTGGAATTTATTTTACAATTCGTTTGATGTATATCTGCAACAGAAATCACCTTACTTTCTCAGAACTGTTCTAGCAATAAAAAACCTTACTTTTCATAATAAAGGAGCAACAGGACTCTGAATACATACAAGTAACATATTTGTTGGGTCAAATGATAGCATTTTAGTCAGTTCTTCTGTCTATAATGACAGTTTAAAATAAAACAAGGATATTCAGCATAATCTCTAGAACAGGGGTTCTCAGACTGTGGGTCAGGACCTCAAAGTGGGTCACGACACAATTTTAATGGGGTCGCCAGGACTGGCTTAGATTTGCTGGGACCTGGGGGTAAAGCCAAAGCCCGTGCCCCCCTGCCTGGGACCGAAGCCCAAGCCCTGAGTGGCGGGCTCAGGTTACAGGCTCCCTGCCTGGGGCTGAAGCCTTTGGGCCTTGGCTTTGCCCTCTCACCCTGCCAGGAGTGGTGGGACTCGGACTTTGGGCCCCCCCGCCCAGTGTGGCGGGACTTGGGTGGGCTCAGGCTTCGTCCCCCTCTCTTGGGGTCGTGTAGTAATTTTTGTTGTAAGAATGGGGGTTGCGGTGCAATGAAATTTGAGAACCCCTGCTCTAGAACCAAGGAGTTCAAAAAGTTTGACGTTTCTGGACTTATTTGAATCAAATTTGTGGATCTTTTGAGATCACTTACAGCTAATTTTTTATGTAAAGTATTGGACAAGATGTTTTAAAAGCATTCTACCCCTTTTTGTCTTTGTGCAAGCTGTAAAGTTTGCTACTTTCAGCATAAATCTCTATTTTAATAATTATTATTATTAACAAATAATTCAGCAGAGGCTCTCAAGTGCATTACAAATATTAATTGATTCACACAGTTCCCCCTTTGATGTATATAAATTAGTGTTTCCCCTAGTTTACAGGTAGTAAACTGATGTAGAGGGAGATTGTGAGTACCTTAAGGTCACAGAAGAAGTCAGTGGCAGATCTGGGGATACTTAAGGGTCCTGTTTCCCAGTTCTCTGCTCACATTGTTAGACCACAATGCATCTACTGTAATAAGAGCCAAAGAATTAGTAGAAAAGTGCTGCAGAACCTTTTCAGAACTGAGTGGCTTGCCAGGAGCCTGAGGGCTACATCTAATTCACAAATGGATTTACATGTAACTTTAAGCAGAGGTAAATGCATACAGTTTATGTTTACAGAGCACAGTAAATGTACATAATACTCTACAAAATACTCTACTCTAGAGGGGCAAAATGTGCTTGAGAGTTACATTGGAAGGAATGTTAAAAGGAAAGAGTAGCACTGCTTTTTTGCAACCGAAGGCTTTAAAGACAAAAACATTATGTGATGCAGGTAGGTTGCTAGGATGGTTGTTGCAGTTGTTCAGATTCATAACGGAAAAGAACTGCTGGCTGGTATTTCCAAAGAGGATGTTTCCAAATAGCAGTCCTCTTATGTAACTCTGGATATCTATTGTTGGTCAAGCATACTGGTATATAAAGAAATTCAGTAAGCTTCTCTCAAGAAATATGCATTGGAACATTGTGAGTCCGTCAATTCTAGATAAATCTTGTTCATCTCGTCTTTTGGGTTCAGTTTGTGATGTGTTTGCAAACATATTTCTGTCCCTTTGAAAGTGTCTGAACCTTTCATCAAATTAATTTTAAGGCCTGTCTGGATTTTTCAGCATAGGGATAACTGAAACACTTGGGAAATCTGAAAACAGAAAAGACATTCTGTTTCTCTTCATGACTGCACCCAAGACCTCTGGTCTTGTGGGAGCTGCAGACAAAGGCCCATGACTATCTTCTGCTCTCCTGGCATTTGCAGCCAAAGGTCTCTGCTCCACTCCTAATTTTAATATTTTAGATACTTGTAAGTAACATATTTCAGCATATATTATTATTATTATTCTTAAATAGTCAAGAAGTAGTTTCTGACTGATTAGACACGTGACATTATCATCACGGTTCCGAGTTAAAACATTGTTGAAATATATGCATACCTCCTAACATTTAAAGTTAATAAAGCTGGGGGAGGTTCTGCCCCTGTGGGGGTGGAAGGCACCAGAGTTGTGGTTTCAAAGGGAGCTTGCCCTGTACTTACCCCACAGAGGCAGCGTTGCAGCTCCTGTCCCATGGGGCTGACTGGGCTTGGCCCCTGATGCACTGGTTGTAATGCCACTCAGGTTTGGCCCAGTGCCCCTGATGTGGGAGAGAGGTGGGTTGCCAAGCCAGATTTGAGTGAATGGACCTGCAACTGTATGTGCCA